GGACCTACATCTAAAACTAAAACCGCGAGGACTAAACCCAATTATAGCTAATCGTTTTGGACCTAGATCTAAGAAGCCCTATTATTTATTACTTAATTGTTAGGTCTGTATTTTACCTAATTTTTTTTAGGTATGTGATGCTGATATAAAAAAAAAAAAGATAATTAAGTTAAAAGAAGGCTTTTGGCATTGATTAATATTTCTTCTTGGCAGATCCTGATAAATTTAGTCTTGAGATTCACCATGGAGGCAAACTGATTAAAGGGGGAGGCATTGATGAATATGTAGGAGGGGAGGTTGTGTTTCTTGACCACGTAGATGGAGATAAAATGTGATGGATTGAGCTTGTGAGGATTGTAGAACAATTAGGATATGAAAGGAATGAGTTAGTTTTTTTTTACAAGGTGGACAATGAGGATTTTAAAATCTTAGAAAATGATGAGCATGTGTTGAAGATGGTTGCAGCCATGCCTAAGAGTAGAAATATGCCTTTGTATGTAGTTAGACAGCAACCAGCAAGTCAACCTCGTATGCCTATGAACACTGTTGATAACGAAATACCATTGGTGCAAGAGATTCATGTGGCCCAATCTTTGAATTGGGATGGTTTGTTTATTGATTGGAATGATGACAACCTTGATACCTTTAAAAGACAAGAGAATTCAAACCCAGCAAAAAAGAGAATTCATCGGTACCTACAGTGGGTTCACAGCCTCCTCTTTCACAACCTTCTTCATCAAACCAAGGCACGACACCACAAACCCAGCAAAAAAGACTTTAGTCTCCAGCAAAAAGAGGAAGACCATGGAGAGTTTGAGTTAGGACTTGGAACTTCATTTTGATGTATTGTATGGGAAGTTCATTTCGATGTCTTGTGTTAGGATTTGGGAAGTTCATTTTGATATATTGTGTTAGGACTTGCTCAAGATTGATGTCTTCGATGTGATGCACTGGTTTTTTGAGGACTCTGTATTTGATGTGCCATGGATAATGAATTTGCAGGACTTCTATTTTCAAATTGATCCATGAGTTTGGTCTTTCTCTGGAGTTCTCAATTGTTGGTCTTTCTCTTGAGCTTGGATTGTTTCAATTTCTTCAAAAGTCTACTTTTTTTATTGGTTATATAGTACAGGGGCGCCAAAATGGAAGGACCATGAGGAAATGGAGGGAATGGGTTCTGACAGTTGGGTTTGGTCGAAAGTTGGGTGGAATGATGAGATTATTATTTCAAAAAACAGGCTGAGCATGTGCATTTAACTTCAATTTTAACAGATTAACTTCAGTTTTAACATAAACTAACAGAAGGACCATTTTGATGGGTGTATTACAACCTAAAGGACTATTAGTGTCACAAAAAAACCTAAAGGACGATTCGTGATAATTTTGTAAACCTGAAGGACCATTTGTGATAAAAAGCCTTTATTTTATGGGGATAGAGCTTAAAACAGTCGCTGATTTGTTAGAACCTTTGTTTCATCTTGGCTTTAGTTTCATTTTTGGGTTTTCAATACAATGTTTGTGCATCAAATCCAAATTGTACACAGTTATTATGGTTTGGACGAAGAGGGCTGGTTTAATTTGGGCCTTAATTTTTGGGTCCAGCTAAGGGCCTATGGTTCAGCCCAGTAAAACCAAAAGATAATTATTGACTTTTCATCATGGCAAATCAATCTGATATAATAAAGTTGAAAGAAAATGAAAGAGTAAACTTCAATTAAATTTCCAAATATCAATGCCTATATGAAAGGAACAAAATAAAAAAATGGGAGTTGATAGAGGAATTGAGAAATGGTTCAATCTCTCTCACACCAACTCTTTCCTATGTATACTTTTTTTTTACATCCAAAGAATCAAGAAATCAAATCCTTCACTAATATTAATTAAGCTTAATTACTGTTTTACTTCTTGAAACGAGCACTCAGTCTCACTTTACTTTTGAAATTGAAATTTTTTCACTTCACCACTTCCGTCAATTATGCAAACCCACCACTTCTTCTCTTAACAGCATAACTTCTACTTCTTGGATACAAATCAGCCTTCACAACATTCACTTCATCTTCCTCAAAAGAACAAGCCATCTCCTCATCAATCCTTCCCATCTTCAACCCTACACTATAACTCCTCATCCCCATCCCATTCATAGTTTGTTGTCTCCCAATGGGTTGAGCTGCTTGTCTCACAACTGGTCTTCGATGCACATCTAAATCACCTGCAGGTTTATTATTGTTCTTCTTCTCTACATCATTCCTCTTCGAATTCTTCGACGACGCCGTTCTGAGAAGCTGCCTCAAGTCCTCATCGTCGCTAGAGCTCGAGGAATTGACACTGAAGCTCTTGGGCAAGCGTGGAACTTGAGAGGCAGTGTAGCCACTCACTCCACCACCACCATAACCTACCTTGCCAGCACAATCTTCCAAGCTCCTCATGTAAAAGTTCCTGGCCTTGGTCAAGGTCCTAATGGGTGCACAAATAATGTACATCAACTTGCTTTGCTTCTTAGCGTTGCTCCTCATTGTAAAAAATTTGATGTGAACGGTTTTTGAATATTGGGTTTGGACAGAGATTTTAGAACAAGAAAGGAGACTTGAAAAATGTTGAAACTGTGAGCTGATGAGGGAGAGTTGGTGATTTTATAAAGGTGTGGGGGATTTGGGTTTTGGACTTGTTTCTTGGAAGTAACATCAGAAGCAGTCTAAATCGGACGGCAAGCCGAGAGAGAAGAAAAGAAAAATCATTAATTGCGACGTGTGGACTTTGGACCATATCAAAATTCTTAAATCATATAGGACATGTGAAATGTTCAAACATGTAAATATTAATTTATAATACCTCAACCAAAAACAACGTGACAAAAGCATATAATATATTAACTTAATAAATAATAGGATATGACCCTTCCCAAAGTTGGGGCGTATTTGAGCGGGTCATACAAAGTTTACCAATCTTTTGTTTTATTTACCCCCTTTTTTTTTTCTTTTCTACCACAACATTTTCTATTAGGTAAAAACAAAGAACCTCTTTCGTCTATCAGATTAGATCAATCGAAAGATATGCGAGTTTATTGTTCGCCCACGCATTTGTCATTGGGGTCAATAATTTCTATTTGCTCTTGTAGTTGATGATTTTTATGCCTAGTTTATGAATATAATTATTATTTTTCTCTAAACAAAGAATTTCTTATAATAATTAGAAGTCATAGAATAGGGGTCCATACATTACATCACTAGTAATTAATGTACGAATGCATGACTAAGTTGACTAAATCTTCGTTCAAATTGGCTTTGATTTGGAGGGATGACGTCAAATTCGAATGCACCCTTATGGATTTTAGTTTTTGATATTAAATGGTTGAAACATAATAGTAAGTGATATAAAATCGAATCAAACTAAACTAATTGTGGTTTAGTTCAGTTCAATTTAAGATTACATTGTTCTATATAAAAAAAAAGAGCTCAATTGACACTTGGGTTCCGTGGGGTTCATATATAAAATTAATTTGGTGCATAGCCGTACACATTGATTCAATTCTTAGCTTTCAAGTTTAGAGTAGTTATTGACCAAAAAAAAGTTTAGAGTAGTCAAATAACTAAATTAATTAACACAAAAAAATTCGGATAAGATCTGGCGGGAAAGAAGTTATGTATTTCTGGACAAAAGTGAAGTGAAATGGTAAGTTTTTTTGGCTTTGCTTGTGGATTGTGTTAATAAAATGAACTAGCAAAACCTTCCTTTCAAGTCTTTATTTCACTTCACAAAAATTCATTTGCCTTTTGGAAATTGCTGAACATTGCCTTTTGGATGGTTCATGCATTGTTCTTCTTATAATATTTGGTAATTCTATGAGAGTAGAAATATTTAAACTCTGTTTGCTCTCTCTCTCTCTCTCTCTCTCTCTCAAACACAGAAGGGTCACAGTTCTCAGAACCAAACAGAACCACCCAAGTTGCGTTCGAAAGTGGAGATCAAGACGGATAAAATTAGCAACTTACCAAGTGATGTTATAGAAAATTTTTTGTTACTTTTGCCAATTAGGGACGCAGCGAGGACAAGTATCTTATCAAGCAAGTGGAGATACAAATCGGCTATGCTTCCACATCTTAAGTTCGATAGTCTGTCTTTATCAACTGTGAAGCAGACAACCTTTGCAAACATTGTTGATCAAGTACTCTTACTTCACATTGGCCCCATATGCAGTTTCCTGCTTTCTCGTCCCGATGATTTTCTAGCAAACAGTGATTTTGAACGATGGATTCTTCATCTATCAAGAAACTCTATCAAAGAGTTCACACTTGAAAATTGGAAAAGACATCTCTAGGAGATGCCTTCATGTTTCTTCTCCTGTCAAGATATGACTCATTTAGACTTATATAGGTGCTTGCTACGGCCTCCATCAACATTCAAAGGCTTTAGAAGTTTGAAGAGTCTTTGCATGGAGAATGTTACCTTGGCCCAAGATGTGTTTAAGAATTTGATTGTTTGCTGTCCTCTGTTTAAGACATTGCGTTTGCTAAACTGCGATGGTTTATGTCATCTCAAGATGGATGCACCGAAACTAGAATTACTTGAGGTTGAGGTTGAGGTTGATGAAGTTGTTTTTGAGTTGGTTAATCTTGAGAATACCTTAAATCTTGCTGATGTTTCCTTTACTTTAGCAATCAATGATGACTTAAGACAGGTTCCTGACAGCAATTTAGTCCAATTTTTTGTTCACTTTCCTCATATTCGAAGGCTCACATTTGGAAGAAACTTTTTAAAGGTAATTGGTAGTGTGTTTTTGTGATTTCACACACTTAATTTAAAGACCATATACACTGCTATGGGAATTTGGAGCTTATTCATTGAGTCTGCTGTTTTATGCATCTTTGCGTCTCCAGTATTTGGCTGTTCGTCCCTTGCCAGGAAAGCTGCCTCAACCATGCCTATGTCTGAAGTTTCTTTCTATTAGCATCCGCTTTAAGGCTCTAAAGGGGATTTTAGCAGCTCTTTGCATTCTGAGAAGCTCCCCTGCCCTACAAGAACTTGAAATTTTTGTGAGTTTCGTTCTATCAACCCCTGCAATGTTGCTCTGTTGAATTCACACTCTCAAAACAACTGCACTCCATGATATTGTAGATTACAGAGCTGTTTTCCTAGAAGTTCATGATTCTGATGTTATATATCTTGTTTAGGCTCACCACGAAGATCGGGATGTTGTGGGAGAAGTGAACTCTCGGTTAGATGACAATCAGAATTGCCAATTCACTGAACTCCAACGTGTGAAAATGATAAGCATGTATGGTGGCAAACATGAGCTAGACTTCATCAGATTTCTGCTTCTAAGTTCCCCTGTGCTTGAGAGGATGACTGTTAAGCCAGCTTCTTACTGTTAGCATTTGTCATATGTTGAATTAGTCTACTAGCTCATTAATGAATTAGTTAGTTTAGTCATTAATGGGATTGGTAGAATTAGGTTAGGAGCCTACCTTAATTTAGGGAAGAATGGTTTGGTTGCCTAATTTGGTAGGCTTGACCTTGGGAATTCAAAGGTTGGGAGCTCAAGGTATTTTGTCTTACTTGTACTTCCACTTGTATAAATATGCTTGCTTGTAATAAAAAGAAGAATCAATGAAAACTGAATACAAGTTGAAAACCAGAAAATTATCTTCTCTCATTTTCATATTCTCTTATATTTTCATATCCTAACTTCTCATGTTTTGGCATGGTATCAGAGCCTAATGGCTAATCCTTAAGATCCTCTACCAAATTGAGAGTCGTTGGCGTATCTTCATGTTACTATAAATTCTCTTGTTTCTCCTCTCCTCTATAATCAACATATTTTTCTTTCTACCTTAGCCTTTTTCGCAGCTTCTTTTGTCACTGCATTTTTTTT